CTCCTTCCACATATCTTTCCAGTGGTCACAACATGTTCTATTTTCCCTATTCTCATAACATGACCGAAAAATGATAACTGTCTCCTTCTGATGTCTGTGATAAGTTGTCTTCGGGCTCCCGCCTCTTTCAAAACCTCTTGGTTGCTCTTTTTGGCTGTCCAAGGTATTCTAAGCATTCTTCTGTAAAACCACATCCCCGAGGCCTCCGGAAATTTTTTGGCCTGCCTACCGATTGTCCAGGATTCACAGCCATATGTTAAAACTGGATGTATGTAGCAAGCAAGAATACTTTTTCTAACTCTCAATGACAAGGATATATTGCACCAGATGTTTTTCATTTTATAAAATGCAGTTTTTGCCTGCCCTATTCTATTTCTTATCTCAGTTATGCAACTTCCATCTGATGTTATCAATGTGCCCAGATACCTAAATTTCTGTACTTGTCCTAAAATAACACCATCAACTTTTATTACACACTTAGGAATAATTCGTTTCTTTGATACCACCATTACTTCTGTCCTCCCATTATTCAAACTGGGGCCCATTCTTCCACTTTCTAACAACACAATGTCTATCAATTCCTGTAGTTCTTTCTGACTTGTTGCTATCAAGACTGTGTCATTAGCATAACGCAAATTGTTTATATTGTGCCCACCAACCACAATTCCTGGCATACCAATTAAAGCTCTCATTATATATTCACTGTATATTGAAAACAAATCAGGTGACAGTACACATCCTTGTCGTACGCCCCTCTTTATGCTTGGAAATGTACCTAAACAGTTGTTAATTCTTATAGCTGCTGTTTGCTGCCAATACATATTCTTTATTATTTGTAGATCTTTCCCATCAATGTTTAATTTTTCTAACAGTTTGATTACTTCTTCATGCTTCACACAGTCAAATGCTTTTGTATAGTCTATGAAGCATATGTACAAATCAGTCTTTACTTCTATAGCTCTTTCTGACAATGTCCTTAGGATGTATATGGCATTGTTTGTATCTTTTCCTTCTACAAATCCACATTGTTCATCGCTGATTTCTGGTTTAATTTTGTTTCTTATTCTTCTCATAATTATTCTCAGTAAAATCTTAGTCATGTGACTCATAAGACTTATTGTGCGATAGTCCTCACATTTTATAGTGCCTGGTTTCTTAGGCAGAGCTATTAATATGGATTTTAAAAGGTATATATATATATATATATATATATATATATATATATATATATATATATATATATATATATATATAAATATATATATAATATATATATATATATATATATATATATATATATATATATATATATATATAATGATACCTTTTTACGCTTTCAGGCGTATCGAGAACAGCGCCCATATTTTTATAGACTATCAACACTAGGTGGGTAATGTGGTCACCATTACGCTGGCCGTCTTTACTTCCCCAGGACATACATCCTGGTACCCATTTTAGGCTGGGTTGACCTGATACGCCCCATGCTATGATAAAAATCCATTCAGCTAGCAGTGGGTTTCGATCGCGGTACGTTGGAATTACTAGTCGGACTCGCAACGCCTAAGCTACGGACGCCGCATATATATATATATATATATATGTGTGTGTGTGTGTATGTTTGTGTGTGTGCAGTAAAGGGTGCAGTCACCAGCACACTTTTTTGAATATGTTCGAATCTCAATGAAGCTGGATTATCCTAATCTAATGTGGACTTTCAGGTCGACAATTCTGACGGTAGGCACACCCTGGAAAATAAAAGTTGCCGAATCCGTACCGACACATCTATCGATTAGCACCGTGTCCCCAAGAAGTGGGACACCTAAAGGTTAGTTGCGTATCCTTTACAGGACGTTGCAGAACCAACCCCAATAGCCCCTGGCTGTTGTGTGGTTTTTCTAGGCAAATTTACTTCCAGTAGTTTGCCATTGCTACTGGACGGTCGGCTCTCTTGATACCACTGTCGAAACCAACGCAAGGCGCGAGGCCCACAGCTGGGATCGAACCCGGCATCCCGGCATTACGAAGCGTTCACATCGACTTAGCCACAGAGCCGACACAGTGGAACATCTACTTTACTTATATTGCCGTATGCTTACTTGATACGTCGACATTTGTGGCTTAGGCCTTAAGAACGCACTTCGTAATGCCAGGGTGCCGTGGTTGATCCCAGCTGCCGGCAGTTTGACAGAAGACCGCATTGCCTTGGTTTCGGCAGTGGTATCGAGAGCTGACCGTTTAGTGGGCAAGGGCAAAGCGTTGAACGATTTGCAGCCTGGTGAGGAGAGTTGTCTCCGCTGGACCTTGTCCAACATCAGACCAAAAATAGCATAAATCATCAAGGCGAAACGGTGGCACCTATCACATTGATATTTGGACACTACATTACAAGCTGTTGGTAATTGTTTCTTTTTTTATTTCACACTTAGATTTATATGGAAGTTTTCTACAAGTTTTTGATAACAATTTATATGATTTTTCTTCTTGTCCTCCTCTTTTTAGTCATATTTTGTTATGTGGCGGGTAGTTAGGGAGGGGCGGGTTGGGGGGGGGGGGGGGGGGCAGGAACGAGGGTCATATACAAAAAAAGGAGGGGGGGGGGTGGGTGGGGTTCCGCAACCTGAAAAAGTTTAGATGGATGTGCAGACAAAACTCAATTTCTGGAACAAGAGTAAAGTCCAGAAATGGACGAACAGCCAGAACTTACTGTCTGAGTTTACAGCCGGTAAACGCGAAGAAGTACTCTAGTCGAGCACTTACATGCGCTGGTCTTTCTTTCGAAATACCCCGGTTCAAAACCTGGATGATGATTTTTCTATCGGTGGTAAAAATAATATCCTAACCTGCAGTCAGTGGCGACTGCACTGGACATGCGGCTTTAAATTTGCAGACTCATGACATCCTTTCCTGTCTGGTAACTAAGGCTGAACGGTGTTTCTGGGATTCTTATAATTGATGTGTGAATCACGCATACCACAATCCTAGAAGGCAAAAAAAAAAAAATATTTAAAAAAAAAGAAAAAATACGAGATGTTTCGATTCCCCAGGAGCGGCAGTTTCCGGTTCCGGGCATGGTGATGAAACATGTTGACAGACTAAGGCAGGACTGAAGCCGTTTTTGTGTTCACTGTTTACTGGTTTTTTGGGGGCAACAACAAGAAGTTCAGTAGTTGATAAGTTTATCTACTTTAAAAAAAAATGAAGCTTTACACAGACCTAGGCAATTTCCAAACACTGAAGGTACTGCTAGCGGCAAGATTATCTGGCCACTCCATCCAGCTTGTGGAAGTGAAGAAAGGAGGTACTGAGAAAGTGTAGTAATTTTTTGGGTTTTAAATTATTAAAATTCTTGTTGTGTTGCGGTAGGTAGTAGGCGACACTGGCGTTCAGTCACTGACACCACTTATCAAACCATTAAGCACGTGAGTGGTCGGATATCAACCTTAGGGCCTCTAGCGGCTCACGACACAAATTCTGTCTTTGGTGGTGACCCTGACAGTGAGTGTCACTGTGGCACATCTGGGAAAAGAAGCTTGGCTTTTATCTATATATGACGCGCCTCAGGATTTTTGGCTCCCCTCCGAACTTGTACCCCATATTATGGTGGCCAAACAAATACCCTAACAGGGCCTCAGTCGTGTGTAAAATGCAGACTTCCTGCGACGAACACATCACGGCAAAACTAGGATTACTTGACAATTTCAAGAGACGCAACACTGCAGATGATAGTAGCAGACGATACTAACGACCATTGACAATTTTGTTTTGAGACGCAACATTACAGACAATAACATGGAGATGGTGGGGAGAACACGTGCTCCGACGCAGATTAGCGGTAGTGTTCTTCCGATTAAATTCACTGCCGAGCGTATCCCCCGCACTGCTACGTGCGGTGTGGATGGGGATCTAAACTGAAAGCCTGGGACTAACGAGCAAATAAATTTGAGGAAGTTGCAGGAGATGTGGTAGCTGCTGCTCATGAGTCCCAGCCATCTAGTTTAGCCCCCCATCCGCACGCAGCGGTGTGGGGGGATACTGTCGGCAGTGCGGCATAGTCGCAGAAACAGGTCCGCAATTAACATATCGCTGAGATCCTGTTACAGCATTTGTTTCGTTATTCTGAGCCAATCCTAGTTTTGCTGCGATTTGTTCCTCGACAGGAAGTCCTCATTTTGCATAGGACTGAGGCCCTGTTAGGGTATTTGTTTGGCCACCATAATATAGGGTAGAAGTTGGGAGGAGAGCCGATTTTTGTTTGTTTTTCTTAGATAAAGATTTGAACAGAAGATGTCTGTATGCAGTCCCTGTAGTACTTGAGTAATGGTCAACAAAGCAGTATGTCACTTCTCTGCTTCATGGATATGATCAGTGTCGCAGAACTTTCTTTTCATCAGTCACATGCTGATAGAATTAAGTCCTTTATGGGGGTTCAGGTGGCCAGTGCATCAGTTGAAGAGTTGAAAGTCATGCCACAGAGTCTATATAGAGTTTAATGGTTATTGTATAGTTTCACTGTGTACACAGTTTTACATTTAAAATTTGTAGTAGTTCTTTAAATGTTACTGTGTTACACTGGGTCAGTGCTGAAATCTTCACTTGAGTAGGGACAGCTCTATAAATGTAACTGTCGCACACTGAGCCTGATTAGAATTTTAACGGTGCTGTCAGGGCAAAATTTGGAGTTAAAAATCTACCCAAAGTATTTCAGTATCCTCGACGGTGCAACACAGTTCGTGCACTGGGCTGTGATTCTTATGACTCGGGCTTTAGTTAGAAGTAGAGCAGAGCACTTATTGGTTACACCCGTGTGCCATGATGTTGATCCGTCAAATAAACAATAAACTTTGGTACCGTGTCTGGGGCTTCATTTGTTAGAGAACTGGATGAATAGATCCACTGCTGTCTAACAAGCATATCTTATAAGGCTACTTAATATTATGAATGGCTTTTAATAAACTGGATTTGTTCACCCGAAAGGTGTATGTATATATCACTAAGCTTAGCTCTAAACCACAGGATATGTCAATACAAATGCCTTTTTAAGGGTGATCAGATGTAGAAGAAACTATTACTTTGTGACTGTCTCCCTAGATAATTGAATTTACTCTTGCTGTACTGCATTCGCCACCCTTTTTAACTTGCTTGTTGTTAATAATATTCACCCCTCGTTGGATTCTGGGACGCCATTGTGGGGGAAACAAGAATAGACCCACTGCCTACCCAGCAAGCATGCCGTAATAGTCAACTAATTGGGAGCTTCCTTCAAAGTCAGAGTGCATCTGCCTGAGGGGCAAGGAACCAACAGTCTGCATACAAGTTGATCAGATCTGTAAAACAAATGTGCATGCAACACTCAGGTTCTGAAACTAGGCTAATGTCTAAAGTGGATGAACAACCAAAACTTTCCGCCTGAGTTTACAGCCAGTGAACATGAAAAAAAAATGATTAAAAATATTTCAGTTTTGAATACAGTCATAATTTTAATCATTTATTTGTCCTGGCACTCTATTGATAGTTAGTAAAGTATATTAGCTTGGTTTGTTTCTTGACATCTTCAGCAGCAAGCGAAGGGTTCCAATTCCGATGGCACAAGCAACTGTCTGATTGTTTATCCATCTTGCTTTCCCCCTGAGTGTTGAGCGCCGGCCAGATCCCCTTGTAACTCCTTGCAGTGCCATTCTCTCCAGACTGTAATTATCTGTGTGTGCCTCCTCCCTGTTCAATCGCCCCTGAAGATTTTCTTCAGGGCAATCTACAAAAATGAATGTTTTTTTCCTTAGGATCTTAATATAAGCTTGCAAACTGATTGTCTCTCCTCTCATCGTTCTCTGCATAGTAATGCTCCAACTGTTCAGAAGAAATTGCTTTCCATTGCAGTCAATGGTCATTTGTGGTATTCAAGGAACCCATCTTGTGTAAACATTAAAAAGTCGTGAGTTTTTATAATTTCTGAACAATGGGGTTCTTTGCTTTCTGAACGCCCCTTCTTGTTGAGTCAGATACGGTGGCTTAAAAATGCTACTGTCTTGGGATCCAGGCCGAATCAACCTTTAATTTCTTAAATGTAATGATTATTTAGTGTAAATATATAAAAATTTGCATTGTCAGTTCTGAATTCACTTTTTTCAATGCCTTGGTTTTTCTTGTTGTTTTATACACTAATAATGATGCCAGAATTAGGAGAATATAAAGATTCACTATTGCAAGGTCGAATCAAAACTGTTTTCTGGTACTTTCCAAGAATATGCTAAAAATGAAGTCATTTTGCACTGTTTGAATGTGTGCTACATTAAGGTGTCTTTGATACTGATTTTTGAAAGAGAAAAAAAGTTAAGATTCCCTGTCAACTTTGTAGCAGATTATAATGGGGTTGTTGGTTTTGTGTGGATTTTCAGTATTTAAGGATAAATAAAATGCAAAAAGATACTTTTTATCTTCTTTTTTTCCCCTCCAAATAATAAATTGCTGTTTAAAAAAAAAACTTTTGACAAAACTAAAACAGAAAAATTTACAGTAACATGTCATTTAGAATGTTTCTGAAATTCTTGCAGTAACAAGTCATTTAGAATATTTCAGAAACGTTTACAGTGAAATGTCATTCGATACTGTTTCAGATATAGTTGTGCCATATTTTACAAAGTCCAAGTTACCAGTGCTAGAACTAGAGGATGGAAAATATCTGTTCTCTGCAAACACAGCAGCAAAGTATGTATGATAATGCATGTTACTTACAGATTTCTTGAGTTTGGTTCTCTGTTTTTATGTTTTAAAAGTACAGTGGTAACTCGGTATATGTTCTTATCCGTTCCTGATCCTTAGATGTATACCAGACAAACTTTCTCATAAGGAAAAAGGGAGAGTGATTAATAGTGTTGTTACTGGCATATTATTTATTGATAGGGCTGTACAAAATAATTTGTATACTGCCTAATACTAAAAGACAGAGATACAGAAGCAGTTAGATATAAATAAAAATTTAACTTCACTTTACCTTCCTGAGAAGTGTCCAGTGAACGAGAGTCCCATTCCAATAAATTCTTAGGTTTTTCTCTTTCTCTTTTTTTCTGTCGTTTCTACTAGTTGGACCTAGCTGAGACTTATCGGGTTTGTATTACACTAAAAATATGCCAAAAGAACTTAGCTTTTGTCTTTTCTTCAGGATGTTTCAGACAATTGACATTGTGTCCTGAATAATTTTTCCTCACACAGGTTTGTATTCCATACAGTTAAATACCTTATGTAACCAAGTTTTTGCATCTAAATAGAATGTATACAAAAGCATAGATATGCCGAGGTACCGCTGTATTTCAAAGTGAGAGGATAGTCTTAACTGTTACTGGTTTGCTGCAAAATAGCTTAGTCTCTCTCTATCTGTCCATGTATTTCTCACTTTTTCTATCTCTCTCTTCTTTTTTCTCTCTCTCTGCCCTAAGGGCAAGGAACCAACAATCTGCATACAGATATGTAAAATATATGTGCATGCAAGACTCAGGTTCTGGATCAGAATGAAACTCCAGAAGTTGACGATCAGCCAGAACTTTCCACTGGAGTCTTGAGGCTGGTGAATGCAAAAAGGAAGAGTGTTGTGTGTACATATGTTTTAGACAGATCGGGCTTATTTGTTTGCAGACTGTTGGTTTCTTGCTTCTTAGGCAGTTTTGCTCCCACTTTAAAGGTAATAGAGATCCCATCCATGCTGGCCAGACCCTAGGAGAGAATCTGGTTTCTAGGATGGCCACAAAGTGTTTTATGAGGGCCAGTTGACCAGAGCCTATTGAAGAAATAATCCTGTCTTTGCTGGACTGCTAAACTGTGACGACTGTCTTACAAGCAAGCTCAGAGACATTTAGCTAATATGGGTCCCCATAGTTAATAAGAGTACCAGAGATCAGAGCACTCACTTGTCCTGTCAGTCTAAAAGATTGCTGAAGGCTAAGACTTAGTCTTAGTCGAGGTTTCAGCTTGACTGCAGTCAAGTTTCCCCATACTTGCTCTGTTCCTTGTGAACCAATAATTAGTCCCAGAACAGTCCAGAAACATACACAGGCAGTAAATGCATATGGTAGTTGCCAGACACCAAACCCAACAGTCGCCACCAGAAATGCAGTTTGTCGTTTACGGAAGTAGCTAGCCACAATAAGGTGGCTATACACACATAGAATGATTACATACATAAGGTATTTCACCAGCCCAGATGTATACCGGCTATGGAGGGCGAGAACATTTTCTACAGCCGTGTGGTGGTGAAAGGCAGGGGGAAACTACTACATTACTGTCCCAAGAAACTCTTGCCATGGCAGGTGTGAAGTTCTGTTAAAGGCATGATAGTGATGATGAGATCATAAAAGAACATAAAAGATGGCTAAATCTGAGTTTGTGTCTACCCTGTACGTAGGTGTTTCGTCCTTTTTAGGACTGAATTTTTTTTTTTTTTTGAAGCCCCACCCTGGCTTTTGCCAGGGGCCGCAGTATAGGCAGGCCATAAATATGGCCAGTTGTCTGAACGCGGTTTCTGGGACCTCCACGGAGATCCTCATCCCACATGGTGGCACTTTGTGTCATCAGGTGTTTATCGCTTGTGTGATGTCCTGGTGGGGTAGAAAGTCAGTCAGTCAGAGTTTCTGCCCTTTCTGTTTAGATAATGAAACGAAACATTTTTACAGCTGTTGAAATCAAACATGAGAAAAATCAGAATAACACAATCACAGATGAGAGGGTGAATTTTGAAAACTCAAAGCCTTTATCAGCAAAGAGAAATGAAGAAATAAGGATTTTTACAATTATGAATTGATCTGAGAAAGTATAAAGTGTGAGAGGATCTCTGACAGGAGGTGGATTTTGTTGTTGTCTGGATGGTATATGGAGTTGGGAAAGATTAGAGGGACAGATGCAGAATAGTAAAAGAATAGGAATAAACAAAAAGTGAGGGTCACTTAGATAATAACCAATCCTCAACTAGGTGCCTGGAAATGTTTTTATGAAGTAAAAGGGACCAATGTGGTGTTTACATTACCCATCAGGTGCCAGTTTGCTGTTAAAAATAAATGTCTGTCACCATATGCCTTGTTTGTTAATGGGGGGATATGGGGTCCTTTATTTTTACTGTCTGTCTACTGAACGTTATACAAAACATTTTACAAGATTTTAACTGCACAATTTCAGATACTTTTATTTGAAGACAAACAAAGTTACAGATGAAGATGCGGAGAACATACTGTTGGACTGGGAATTTACACAGTTGTTGGTAAGATTACTTTAATAATTATTCACAATCCTTTTTCACGTTATGCTCGCTCGCCTGTTACCCCTAAGGTCTTAGGTTCAAAGTCCACATAGAGTTATGTTTTTTATTTAAGCAGACCTTGGCTGTCGGGTCAACCCAGCCTCAATAAGTACCAGGAAATGTTCTGGAAAGTAAAAGGAGGCCGGTATGATGTTGACATATCCTAAGCCCAATGCAAAACAACACTGCAGGGCTCAGTAGAGGGAAAGAGGAGAAGAGGCAGACCAAGAAAGACCTGGTTACAGACTCTGACTGACTGGACAGGCCTCAGGCATGCAACCATGAAGACCATCGCAACTGACCATCAAAGGTGGAGAGAGCTGATCAGACAGTTCAACAGAAACTGGTGACCCAACGACACCTAGTATTACGCGATGATGATGCCCAATGTGCCACGGGCAAAAAAAAGTGCTGTACTTTCACTGGAAAATGACTTCAGCAAAGGTAGATACAGGACATTGAAGAGGCATTGGCTATGAAAGCACACAGGGCTGGAAAATTGGCTAGAGAAAGACAGATTTTTAGGTGTGCTGTGAAGAGTGGGAAGTTCTGTAAAGGACACACTGATTGATGGTGACTTTCACTTTTTATGTGCTGATTTCTTTTCTTTCAAGGGAATTTTCTTAGTGCTGTATTTGAGCTGTTTTCCCTGAGCTCTAGTATGTGGGTTCTATTTTGAACTCTGTCCTTCGTTTGCTAGTGTAAGCATCTCAGAGATCAGTGGTACTTCATCAGAGCCCTATGAAGTACTGGGATTTTCAGTCTTTTTTTACCCCACTTACACGAGGCCAGCATGTGACTTTATAAATCTAGTACGCCATAATATAGTGGTTTTATATGATTAAACAGGGTGTCTCTCTTTTGCTTCAGTTGTATCCAGATTTGTATCTGGAAAATAAATCTTTGAGATGAAAAGTACCCATTTTCCACCCTTAGCATATCAGTGAATCAATAACTGACTGTGTCAGTGTCCCTGCACTCAGGACATACTCACACCTGCTTCATCTCCTTCCTCGCTAGACCAGTCGACCGTCACTGCCTGATGTGGTCATCATCACACCTACTGCGTTTACTTCCAACATTGCCTGGTACCCAATTTAGGCTGGGTCAAACTAGGAGTCAAGGTCAGTTTTGAAACCAATCAGCCTTGATCAGCCATGATGTGGATTTGAATCCTTTCGGGCTGTCGGGCGAGTGTCTGTCCATTACACTACTGTGGCTGCTGCTCTCTGAAGTGCTTATTTGAATATTTTAGACTGCAGTCACATTGGGTCTTTTTTCCTCTTTGCGTTCAGTTTTGTGTGCTCAGGTCATTCGGTCAGGTCGACTGCCTTTTATGAATTTGAATTTCAGTAGCAGGTCCCTCATGGTTCCCATAGCTCGCTCTGCACACTTTGCTCCTGGAGCCAGGATTCTCTTACCAGTTGTAAATATAGTTGGCAGGCCTGCAGAGTGTACTCAGGTGTTTTTTGGTCCCATCTAATGTGCACACTTTGGGGACTGTTTTGGTCTATATTTTATGCATTTGGTCAATGAGCCTGTTCTTAAATGGAAAATTTTGTTTGTATTCTTTTCTGTTGAGGGGGTCTTGTGGATGTTTACTATTGATTTGTTCTCTCCACAATTCCCTGTATTTCCCTTTGATAAGTGATTTGATTTCTAATAATGACAATGAGGGTAATCAAGAGGGGAAAAAAGTAGCAGACAAATCATTTACTATAACATTGTATCCACATTGCTAAAATGGTGGATATAACATGTTATCCACATTACAAATTGGTTTGTGTATCATTGTATCCACATTGCTAAAACGGTCGATATAACTGTGGTCTTTTTTCTAGGAAATAGGAAAAAAGGTACCACTAATCACCACAGATTATCTATTACAAAAGTGATGAAATAAATGATGCTTAAAAACAGAACCTGTACTGCATATTATTGTGTACCGCCGGAAAAAAAACCATGGATATACAGTTTTATTTACATTGCAAATTAGTGGATATTATGTGTATTTACACATAAAACATGAATGCCAAACTTTGTATTGTTTTATTGGCTCAGAATGTTTATTTTTTCACATCTGCTATGGAAACAATCAGACTGTCACAACAGTATGCATTTACACAAATATTTTTTTTTGTAAGTTGCTAAATGTTTGTTTGCATCTTGTATTTAGCCCACAGTTGTGACCTACTTGCTAGGGGTGTCAGGTCATGAGAAGAAGACCAACATATTGGCAGATCAGCTTGCAAATCTTTTGCTGGAGGTTGATGGCAAGCTGTCAAAGACCACATTTCTACTAGGAGTAAGTATTCGTTATTTGTCTTGCTCATTTTCTTCTAATATTGTTGTTTTCAAAAAATACAATTCTTTTTTTTTTTTTTACTTTTCTACTGATATATTCAGTTGGCTCTGTAGCTAAATCGATGCGAACGCTATGTAGTACCGGGGTGCCCGGTTCGATCCCAGCTGCGGGCTATGCGCCTTGCGTTGGTTTCGACAGTGGTATCAGGGAGCCGACTGTCCAGAAAGCAATGGCAAACTACTGCACGTAAATTTGCCTAGGGGTTGGTTCTGCAATGTCCTGTAAAGGATACGCAACTAACTGATATATTCAGTACTGCTTTTTCTCCTCATGTGGGTTCCATAGCCCTCCTTCAAAGTCAGAGTACATTTGCCTGAGAGGCAAAGAACCAACAGTCTGCATGCAGATGAGTCAGACTTGTGAAACGGGTGTGCACTCAACACTTAGTTTCTGGAACAGGACTAGAGTCCAGAAGTGGATGTACAACCTGAATTGGTGTTTAAAGCCGGTGAACACAAAGAAGAAGAAAAATAAGAAGTACTGATTTTTTATGTGATTGGGTGTGCCAACTGCAATCTCTAATTTTGAGACCTTGCTATAGTGAGGCAGCATGTATCCTGCACCATTTTTTTGGAAAACTGTTTTGGTCTTTTCAGAATAAATGTCTAAGGGCAAACCTGGAAATATTTTGGCCAGACATGGATTAAAAATGAAGAATTGATAAGGAACACAAAATGTTTTTCACTGGAAAATATTTTCAAAGGAAGAAGATAGAAATGGCTTGGACATGATTACAGAATGCCTCCTTACCCTTTGACAAGGACTGCTTTCTGATAGACGGCAGATGGTAAAATGAGATGTGGACAACCTGAAGAAGAACATAGAAAGGGAAATAAAAAATGTAAAAATGACATGGGATACCTTTGCAGAAAAAAACTGCAGCAGACTGGCAGCAAAGGGAGATCACTTATGTGTTCAGCAGTGAAATATATAAAATACTGTCTGCATTTGATCTCTTTTGCTATGTTTTCAGGCACCTAAGTATTGGAAAGTCTGTCATTTTACAGATTTATTTTCTTGCATTTATGTATGAACTGCAGAGGGAAATAGTCACGCAGCACTGTCATAGCACTTGGGGCTGGCCCCTAGGTGCTCTGTCACTTTGAGATGTCAGAGGCTATTTCTGTAGTTCCAGCGTTAGTTTACTCTAACGTTTATTACGGCCCTTTCTGCTAGCGGGAGCCACCATGGTGTAGCAGCTTGGTGCTTGTCTGAGGACCTGAAGGTTGTGTGTTCAGCTTCTGAAGGAGTCCCGGCGTTTTCAAAAATGACCTTGGCTCCCGGGTCGACCTAGCATTAAATGGGTACGAGGTAAAGTCCTGGGAGGTAGACTAAATCACCCATCCAGTGCTGATTGGTCTATAAAATATAAGTCATGCCCTTTATGGCCAAAACATCTGAAGGCATGCACAAAGGGTCCTTTACTTTATTTCACCAGGTTTGATCCCATATGGCTTGGTCTCTCTCCACAGAACGGCTAGCCACCTGCCAAAAGCATCGTTCAAAGCACACACTCTGTAGCTCTGGTGGCGATTTCCATGGATCTTCTCCGTAAAATTTGCACTTGAGAACTGAACGGCACAGCTTTGAAATGAACCCACAACCTTCAGAGCATGAGGCAAACGGCTCGACCACTTCATCATGGAGACCCCACTTTTCTCTTGCTAGTGGACTTACAGCATGAATGCTAGCTAAATTTCATATGTAATGTTTTTGCAGCATCAGATGACCGCTAGTGATGTTTGTATCTTCAGTACCATATATCCATTGCTGGGTTTGAAACTGCAAGGTAACAGTTGATTGTTTATAAATGTCTACAGTTTAGCAGTATAAAACAGTTTCTCACACTGCAGCTAATATATGTTGTTTTTAAATTTTTTTTTTCTGTTGTTTTATTTCTTCACTTCCTCTCTTACCATTTTAGGTGTCTAGAAGAAATAAGGTTCTGCTTCTGGCTCTTCTGGCCATTTCAACAATGGAGACAGTATTCTGTTTAGTTTCTCAGATATCTTTCCATCTTGTTCTTGGTCAACGCCGTTTTCTGTGTCCATCTCCTCTTTTGTGTATGCTTTGTATGGTAGAATGTTGCAAGGCATTTAAAGTAGGTGTGACGTTTTATTAGCTGTCTTTGATTTGTAATTTAGTATTGGCTCTGTCAACTTTTTCTCTTATGTCTTCGCCCAATTCTTTCTCTTATGGTCACGCCTGCAGCTTGTCTTGGACAACTAAGTCTGATGCTTATTATTTTTCTTTTCCGGGTTGTTGTGAAGATAAACAAATACAAATGGTAACTGTCAGCTCACCTCTGATAGGGATCTAAAACACTCTTGACTTCACTTCTGAAAATCATCTGGGATATACTGAGTCAGTTCACGAGAAAAGACACGAGCTGTCCTGACTTCACCACTGATTATGTCTCTTCAAGTCATGCCTGCAGTGTTTGTTGGACATCCAAGTCTTATGGTTATTCATTGTCATTTCTGGTTTGTTGTGAATGACCTTGTCTGGCACTGGTAGCATAGGGTGGAGAGAAATTTACTTTGTATGATATTTGCTTTTATTGGGTTTGTTCTCAGGCTGTCAGGTAGGAGCTGGCTTCCCAAAACATGGTTTGCTTTACAGGTTTACTGTATCTGGATGTTAATTTCTTAGCCCAATTTGCCATCTTCAGTGAATGTTTTTCCCAGGCCTTTAAACTCATGCCTGTTTAATACCTTTACATTCTACTAAAAAATTCAAGTTCTGATTCTTTCTGCCTATTAGTCATTACAAATTTCACTTCAAAGGCTATGTTGCGTCTCCAGCACCCTCTGTTTACCATTGCTACTATTTGTACTGTGACTAGTTCTTCTTCCCATCAAACCTTTTGACCATACTAAACAGAAATCTTACTTTGTGAGCAATCTTGCATTTGACTATAACACAAATTTCAGTGCACTGTCACATGAAGTCGTTTATTTATTTTTTTAAGCTAACACACTGTGTTCAGTCTGTTGAGTATTAATTAGTAAATATAATAATAATTATTAAATTCAATGCTTGTTAATGCTTCAGAAATTTCAGAAACTAACAGCAGATTTATAATGTTTACATTAATTTAAATACTTGAGCATACATTTCTGGTTAGTTTAATAGGAAATGATTATGTCTGCTCCCCTGTGTGGGCAGCGTGCTTTTAGAGTAGGTTAGTTGCGTATCCTTTACAGGACGTTGCAGAACCAACCCCAGCAGCCCCTGGCTGTTGTGTGGTTTCTGTAGGCAAATTTACATCCAGTAGTTTGCCATTGCTTTCTGGACGGTTGGCCCCCTGATTCCACTGTCGAAACCAACGCAAGGCGCATGGCCCGCAGCTAGGATCGAACCCTGTACCCCGGCATTACGGAGCGTTCTCATCGACTTAGCCACAGAGCTGACTTGCTTTTATAGTCCCACAAATAATAGGAATTCAGAGGAATCAGCAGCAATAGAGTACAGATTGTAACTGTCAGCTCACCCCTGGTAGGGATCTAACTCTGACTTCAGTTCTAAACACCTCATGAGATATACTGAGCCGGCTGAAGAGAGAAGATAGACATGTCCTCCTCACTCTGAAATTTTGTGTTGAAGAGGAAACGGAAAGCGTCTGCAAAAAAGGGAGATCACTGGTGTTATTCATCCAGCTTTTCATTTATCTTTACTTCCCATTTTAATTTGGGTAATTATAATATTGCTACTGAGTACAATGTAGCAGCTATATGCTGGCCTGCTGATTGGGAGGTTGTGGGTTCGGTTCCTGGCAGATCCATACTTAAAAAAAAGTGACCTTGGCTCTCAGGTCAACCCAGCCTTGAATGGGAAGTAAAGGTGACTTACGTGATGCTGACCACATCACCCACCCAGTGCTGATTGGTTTATAAAATATAGGTCCAGCCCTATATGCCCAGTGTTCCTGGAGGTGTGGAAAAGGGTCCTTTACCTATTTCTTTATCTATATCCTTTTCATGTCGCTGTTGACGCATAAGGCATTCACAAGTGATCTCCATTGCTGCACGTCTGCTGCTTTTCTGCCCATGGTATTCCATGTCAGTTTACATTCCTTCATTTTCCGTTCAACTTTACTTATTTACTGAGTATAAATGTTGCCAGGTAAGGAACAGAAGTCCAGACCAAATGTCACATGCAGTGAGCCATAATTAAATGTGTTGAGAGGTACACAATTTGAAGTGTTGCAGATTAAATCTTTTGAAAGCAAGTGGACAATGAAGAGGCACAATTAGATAGTTATGGTCTGGAAGGAAGGTGCAGCTGGAAAGATTCAGGTGATCTGGCCGACACTCAACATAATGGGCACACAATCAGACTGCTTCTGACACCAGTGGGATTTAAACTCCCGCGCTGACTGCTGAAGATGGGGATGGAACGTTTATGGGAATGTCGCGTGTACTGTGATGTTGGTTTCTAAATAAACTCAGTTCATATAAAAAGCTGTCAGCATTTGTATGTAATGGAACATTAATTTTATGTGTGTGTGTGTGTACATAGATCTGATTCAAAATCTGGCCAACATGAAACGGTGGACCGCTGACATCCTTGCCTTGGAGACTGTCAGTACAGCAATCAAAGATCTGTGTGGTGACAAGGGAGCTGAGATTTTTAGGGTAAAGTTTTTTTATCATTTCATTTCAGAACTTGTGGAGGGTCCGTGTTATTTATTGAAACATTGACTTGTTATCGCTGGACTTAGGATCCCAATATTTTGGTCTGCGTGCAACCTGTATACTTTTGCTTATAACAAAACAAGGAGTGATTTAACATTCTTAAATAGAGTAATTTGTGAATGAAAACAAAGTGCACTCTTGATAATTAGGAGTGTATTATTTTTATAATTTTGATATTTAAATCATGCTGTGGCATTATCAGAAAGTATGATGTCAGAGTTCTGTTGTTAAAATCTCTGTGTTTCGCTCGACTGATATTCTTATATGTCATTGCTATTTATTGGTCCGGTATATGCATTGTTCCTGCTGTTTTGGCAGCCATGGTAGCTTAGTGGCTAAATGCTTGCCTGAGTGATGTTCAGCCCCACGAGGACCACACGACAAGCCATAAACACCAGATGACACAATTACAATGAGAATCGCTCAGGCACAAGTCCCTGGAACCCCGCTCAAACGCTAGGTTATATTAGGACCCTCCAACAACAGCTAGGATACGGCTTAAAAATAAAAGAAATTTGTATGCCATATTAGGGCGCGGAACATTTTGGATTTTTAAAAAAATGCTTTCCTGCCAGCCTGTAGGTTAAGATTTAAAGCAGCACGGAAGAGGGGTTGAGGAGATACCTTAAAGAAATGACTAGCTCTCGGGTCAGCTCAGTCTAAAATTTGTACTAGGCATTGCCCTGGGACCCATGGGATGCTGTCTGCTGTTAACTGTAGCATCAGAGATTCGGCTACTCACTTACCCTGGAAATGTAAAAGATTGCTGAAGGTTGAGGTGCTCAAGGATGTGGAAAGCAAAGGGAGACTACCACATTATGTATCTCTTTAACTTTTAACGGAAGCCGAAATAGAATCTAGGAGATCTAGTGAGGTCCCCCCAGACCAGTCGCGGTCATCTACACAAACTGGGGAGGAGATTGAAATGGCATTCTGTCCCAAATGCTGACATATCTTGGCCATGTTAAACATAGTGGCCTGGAGAGAGCAGTATGTTTCTGGAAAATGAGGCAGGGGCAGACCTCCATGAAGGTGTAAACAAGATACATTGGCTCTGAAGCACAAAGGGTTGAAGAATCGGCCAGAGAACGAAGAGACTTTATTTTTAGAGGGTTACAAATTGGGCATGCAGGCCCGTCTTACATTCGACCCTTACAGGCACTCATCTTTCAGACCCCAGCTCCCTGTGTGGGTTCGGAGGCCCTATTATAGGGAAAACAAGAATAGACCACTGCCTACCCAAAAGCATGTCATAAGAGTCGACTAATTGGGGGCTTCCTTTGAAGTCGGAGTGCATCTGGCTGAGAAGCAATGATCCTACAGTCTGCACACAAATGAGTAAGGTCTGTCAAGCGGATGTGCACGCAACTCTCAGGTTCTAGAACAGGACTGCAGTCCAGAAGTGGACGAACAACCAGAACTTTCCACCAGAGTTTACAGCTGGTGAACACAAAGAAGAAGAAAACCCCAGCTGCATATTATCACAAATGCATGTTATGTGTAAATAAAAAATATACAAAAGGAAAAAATGCATATACAAATCATGTATACATATTCACATATACACGCAGACATACTCTGATATGCTCATAAATACACAAGCATACCCATACATATACATGCATACCTACACGCACTCTCATTTATACACCGTCATACAAATACATATATATGCACTCATGCTCATATAGACACATCAAGTACCCACATGCACTCAGACATATATATATATATATATATATATATATATATATATATATATATATACATATACATACACATATACATATATATACACACACATGCATGCATGCACTTATACATGCATGCATGCACTCATACAGACACAAGCACACATCCATACACAATTCACATAGACTTTGAGGCGTGCGGTGATGAGAGCGACCTCTGTGAAGGATCTCATGATTGGTGATGAATATCTTCGTAAGTAAGCAGCGGGCAGCATGATGTTAATCGCAAGTGCTGTTTGGTCTGTAAAACAATCAGTCCAGCCCCAAATGCCTAGTGAGACATGAATGAGAAAGGTGTTCTTTACTTACTTTTTACTTCGCATAATGTTTTTTTTTTCTTCCCTTCTTCAGACAAATGTTCAGACTCAGAATGTTCTGCCTTCCCTAACATGTGCTGAACCTGCCGGTGTCGGAAAAACTGACCCAAAGACACCACTCGCTCAGCGCAACTCATCTGTTACTGAAGATCATGTAAATATCTCATTATATTTTTAACACGGTTTATTGTATTGGGAAGCTAAGGTAATGAATTGTCTAGATGTTTGACTTTTGATTTGAAGGTTTTCAGTTGAAATCAACATTTCCCAGTGTGGGTTCTGGGGGGAGGGGGGGGGTGTAGACCCACTGCACCCCAACATGCATGTCATAAAAAGTGGCTAATTAGGGGTGTTTCCTTTGAAGTCAGAATGCATATTCCTGAGAGGCGAAGAGCCAGCAGTCTGCGTACAAATAAGCTAGATCTGTAAAATGGATGTGCACTCAAAACTCTGGTTCTGGCATAAGACTAAAGTGGATAAACAGTCATAACTTTCCATGTCAGGAAGAGGAAGAAATCAGCATAAGGGTAGCTTTTTCTGGAAAAAATGACATGGCTCCCAAATCTACCCGATGTAAAATGAGTTCTAGAAAACATCTGTGACTTCACTGCAAGAACAGAAAATCAAAAGAGATAAAGGGCCAAGGAATAGGAAACTATGAAATATATAAACATAAATTTGCATTTTCACTCGCTAAATGCTGAGGGATGAAATATGTCAAGGAGTGGATAAGACAATCGTAGATTGAATTGGTAAATGTGCATAGAGAAAGAATAGACCCACTGCCCCTACTAACATGCATGTTATAAAAGCCAACTAATTATGGGTGTTACCTTTGAAATTGGAGTGCGTCTGCTTGAGAGATGAGGAACCAACAGTCTGCTTGCAGGTAAGCCAGATCTGTAATAATCAGAATTCAAGTTTTAGAACACAACTTAAGTTCAAAAGAGGACAGACAACCAGAATTGTCTGCTGGGTTTGCATCAGGTGGACAAGATCAAGAACTAGCTACATGTTAGCAGTTAGAGCTAGAAAGTAATATTGGGGGGGGGGGGTGCTATTAGAGAGATTTGTGAGATAAACTAAGTGATTTTGTGTGGTGTTGTTTGAATTATGTATGTACTGAGGAAGGCTCAATAGCCTCACCTTTCACGTTTTGTTTGTGTTTGTTATATTGTGAAGCTTGCTGTCTGTTCGGTTTTATATGTTTTTGTGTGAGAGAGATAGAGAATGCAACAAGGAAGAGGTTTCCACATGTGAGTACACACTGAGTGGTTTCAACATCGAGCTCTCATGCAAGAGACCCGGGTTCGACCTCCCGGTAAGGTGGTGGAGTTTTTCTGTTGGGGGTAGAATTAAACATCCTAACCTGCACAGTCTGTGACGACAGCACTAGCCATGTGGCCCTATATTCTCAGGTTCAGTGACAGTTTAGTGCACACAGTCATGAAAAGTAAGTTGCATATCTTTCTTACAGGACTTTGCAGTTCTAGTCCCAACATTTGTGGACTTTTTTTTTTTTTTAAACTAGGCACTTTATGCTGAGTAATTTGCCATTGTTTACGGAATGGTAAGTACCACTGTTGTAATCAACGCAGAGTGATCTGCTGCCATTCGCCCACAGGTGGATCAAATGGACACTGTCTTATTATATATCATTGAAATTAAAACAAACTCTGACATACTCTAAGGTTGTAAATTTAGTTTCACAGTCTTGACATACCAGGGTTTGAAGTCAGCGGCAATTTGTTTTGTAGCACTTTCCATTGATATTGCAATGGTATGAGCCCGATACAGTTAAGAAAGCAAAGGCAAACTACTGAACATAATATAGTAAAACCACAATAGGCAATAATTAATGGGGCTAATTTGTGATGTCCTGAAGAGAAAGTTTAACAGTCTTTGTATCTCTTCCTCATTCAGCATGTTTTTAGTTGTCGAAAAATTGCTTCCTCTGCATTCCAGTGAATCATTTTGAGTTTGTTGTTGTTGTTAAAGTTTGACCAGATGCCCTGTTCTCAATCCGGACATTGCCCTGTTTTTTCGAAGTACATCTCAGATTTGACCATTTTAGACAGATGGCTCATTACTACACCTACCTGAAAGTTTATCACAGAATGATATCCATGTTGTTTTGCACATATTTGCATATTTATTAATGTAAGAATGAGTTGAACTGAGATCATCATCATCATCATGTGCCCTGTTGACTGGTGTAGGCATTCATGCTTCTCCACAGATTTCTGTGTCTTGTTCTCTGGATCATTTCCACCGATTATATCCCTCCATGCCACTGTCACAGCCAATCTGCCATCATCTCTCTGAACTGAGACAAGAACTGAAAATACAACACTCAGGACATGTCTATAAGTACTCCATTCAGAACCTCAGCATACAGTTGCTGTCTATTAATGATGTGTCTCTGTCTTGCAAGAAAGAAAAATAAAACTTGTGATTTTTTATGTATTGCAGGTTCCAGCAGAGAGAGTTCCCGCAGAAGAAGTTGAAGCTGTCTTGGCTGCCTGGAAGACGAACCCTGGGAAGTTTCCAAGACCAAGGAAACGAGAACATCCAATGTTAGTTATATTTTAAGTATAGATAGTGTAATGCCTTGTTTTCTGTCTCTGAATTGTTTGTAAGCATGGCATTAAGAAGATAGATCTCCTCAATGTGTAGCTCTTCTTGATCGTTCTTCTTGATGACACAACTTTATTGTTCCTGTTTACAGCATAGCTGCGATGTTTGCAACTTTTTGCTGACATATGGAACTTCAGCTAGCATTTGTTTTCTGGGATAGTCTTCATGGTTAGTTTCATTGGATATTATAGGACTTTTCACAGCCTTATCTGTGTGGCGACTTCGTTATAAACAGTTTGGAAAAAAACTGAAAATGGGCCAGTGCGTATTATGCTTGTATGTGCTAAGGGCATCTTGGATTTTCCCACAGTAGATAACATAATCAAGCTATTCAGGGCCACTGATTTGGTCTTGATGAAGTCAGACCCCTAACACACACTTCATGAGGACTTATTGAAACGAAAAAACAAAAGTGGATTAGACTTAAAAGGCGCAGATTGTTGATGGATTGTGTTGAGATGCCATCTGACAGGTTAGCCACCTTATTGACGTTAATCTTAGCTTAGAATTTAATGCAAATCCATACCTGCTGCCCCAGACTCTCTGTGGGCTGATGCCTTGTGGTATTCCTGTTAGATGACCAAACAATCAGGTGTACTGTTTTAAATATAGCTTTCATTATTAGGGTTGGAATTTCTTAAACGCATTTCATTGCTGTTATTTCTGTTTTCCTGTCACTTTTATTGTATTTGTATGTGATCAGTAGCATAATGCTGACAGGAAGACCCACTGAACACTGCTGTTTTTGTTTGTTTGTTGTTGATGCAAGGACAATTCAGCACAGAACCAGTACTGAACTTAAGATCATGTTGTTTGGCCATGTAACAAGATTGTCAACAGACAGGACACCACAGAGGCCAGTGTTATATAACAATAACATAGCCAGAGGTCAGTCACACAGAAGATGGACAGTAGAAATATCAGAGACACTGAAAAGTATAATGTATGAAGTAAACAGAAGGTCCAGTTCCAGAGATCTCTTCCTCCCGTGGCGCTGTGAGGCATTCCACAGTGGAGAAAAGAAGATGATGATGAAGGACAGTACCCATTGTTTAATTTATTGAGAAACACAAAAAATAAAATGGTTTGGCTGCCTAGTAAGGATGAATCCATTGATGCTGGCTGCAAGAGTTTTATCATGTAGCAGGTCCTTTGCAGAATGTTGCTGTCATCATGGTCTGCCTGAAAGAAACTCGGTCTCTCGCCAGCTGTCCCCCCTCATATACTTTCATACTCAGGAAGTTACTTATATCCTGTGCCCATCTTCGTGTTGGTCTGCCCCTGCCCCTCCTTCCTGGTACCATGCCTTCTGCTATTATTTTTTCCAGTCCGTCGTGGCGCTTGATATGACCAAAATATTTCAGCTTCTGAGACAGGATGACAGGGAAAGCACACAACATGAACATGGAAACAATAAGAGGCAGAAGAACATCTAAAAGGCAGATTATTTGAAGGAGTCAGTGACAGCCTATGACTTCACATGACATCATATCAAGCAGACAAGTGCACATTGCCTTGGTTGTATATCAAGCAGACAAGTGCACCTTAGCTTGGCTGCATATCAAGCAAAGTGCACCTTAGTTTGGCTGCATATCAAGCAAACAAGTGCATCTTGGCTTGGCTGCATATCAAGCAGACAAGTGCATCTTGGCTTGGCTGCATATCAAGCAGACCAGTGCACCTTGGTTTGGCTGCATATCAAGCAGACCAGTGCACCTTAGCTTGGCTGCATATTAAGCAGACCAGTGCACCTTAGCTTGGCTTCATATCAAGCAGACCAGTGCACCTTAGCTTGGCTGCATATCAAGCAGACCAGTGCACCTTGGCTTGGCTGCATATCAAGCAGACCAGTGCATCTTGGCTTGGCTGCATATCAAGCAGACAAGTGCATCTTGGCTGCATATCAAGCAGACAAGTGCACCTTGGCTTGGCTGCATATCAAGCAGACAAGTGCACCTTGGCCTGGCTGCATATCAAGCAGACAAGTGCATCTTGGCTTGGCTGCATATCAAGCAGACAAGTGCACCTTGGCTTGGCTGCATATCAAGCAGACAAGTGCATCTTGGCTTGGCTGCATATCGTCTACACTATGATGCACGAAACAGATGTTGACCAAAGAAATAAAAAAGATACAAATAAATTAGACAGGCATTCAGGAAACCACAATTATGAAGATTAGATGTAGACAGTCGAGATATTTTCACGATCACAATTGACATTTGTAACTAAGTTTCTCTCTAATTACATGGTCAAATTTAAAAGTTAGCTAACCTGAAATGGGTGTGCCAGGAAATTTCTTAGAAAATAAAGGCAGCCACAAGGATTTTGTCTGCCTAACCCATCAGGTAATAATTGGCTTTTAAAAACTTTGTGCTGCACTATACGAGCAGTGCAGCAAAAGGTTTCTTTAATTTACTTTTGATGTTTTTGATTGGGTACCTGTGAACGAAAGAGTCTACTGCTTTTATTTAATGTTTTTATGAGACTTCATCACTGTGTGTTAGGTTTATTTTAGTTTTACTTTTCTGGCAGTTTTAAGAACAATTATTTTGGAAGAAAAGATTTGACTTTTTTCATTTTCTTTTTTTTTTTTTTAGCTTACCACAGGAAAACTTACGGAACATTCTTGTTACAAGCGCATTGCCGTACGTTAACAACGTCCCACACCTGGGCAATATTATTGGATGTGTTCTCAGTGCAGATGTGTTTTCTAGGTCAGTATAGACATATTCTAAATCTTTAGTTATGCTCCATGTTTCTGCTCCATACAGCAGTACTGATTTGACATTAGAGCGAAGTTAAGTTTAATATTTGTTTTCATTTCTTTCCACAACTTTCCAAATGCTTTTAAAACTCTTCTTGCCTTTTGTATATGTGTTTTAATATTTCCATTAGTTCCATCATCTATGTCTACATTACTGCCAAAAACGGTCTGTGACGTTTGCTGGGTTTAATCTCATTATCTTTTTCTTTCTCCTGTGGTTTTTTAAACCTGATGGCTTAATCTCTCATCAACGTTGTTTTGTAGTGGTCTGTGAAAATATATAAAAAGTGAAACGACATCACTGGTCTAGTGTGCCTCATTTCTTTGCCAAGGTATATTCCCTTGAACTTGTCAATGTATAATTTTTTTTTAAGGAAATCTACACAATATTTTGATTATTAAAATCAAGGAAAGTAAGATTCTTGTCTTAGATGTTAACTGTCTCTTTTACATTTTATATGATCTCAACAAAAAGGTAAAGCCAGGAGATGTGAACCAGCACCATTGCACGGGGTTATAAACCATACATAACATAACCCTAAACCCGTTAGGGTCTTGGAGGTGAATTGATGGAAGCACTAGCACATAAAACCCACAATCTTTCTCTGTCTTCCGCTTGATGAATAAGTGTATGATAACTTTGTCCAGTCCATTTCTTGATGTTGTCATTCCAGGTTCTTCTTTGCCCTCCTTTTCTTCTACTACCCCCCAATGTTTCTTGAAGAACATTCTTTGCAATCGAATCATGTCTCACCACGTGCCCAAACCAGGCTAGCTTGCGACATCTCACCACTGCCAAGAGAGGCTCCTGATGTCCTGCAGATTTGTATATTGTGTCTCTGACATATTTATTAGTTTTGTGTTCTAAATACATAATTCGTAAAATGTGTCTTTGACATTTACATTCAAAAGCCTGCATCCTCCTTTCCATCTCCACAGTGAGAGTCCAACTCTCACATCCGTATAAGAAAATAGACAACACCAGTGATTTGTAAATTTTAACCTTGACTGCGATGCTGATTTTGCTCTGCCACATCGTTTCAGCTGTGACATTGGGGCTGTTGCAATATCAAGTCTTGTCTTGATCTCTTTGGTACAGTTGCCATTGTTGCATATGTGGTGGCTAAGATATTTGAAAGTTTCAACTTCTTCTAGTTTTTTTCCCTTTTATCTGTATGTTGGTAGGTTCTTGATTATTGTGACCATTTACCAGAATCTTGCTTTTCTCTGCATTAATTTCCATGTTATATTTACGACAGACTCTCTATAATTTGGTAGTAAGTTCTTGGAGTTCTGTTTGAGAACCAGCCATGAGATCCATGTCGTCTGCAAAACGTAAATTACACAGTTGTCCTCCGCCAATTGATATAGATGTTTATGATTTTGTGTTTCTCTCATTATTTGTTCCAAATACAAATTGAAAAGGACAGGGGATAGTATGCAACCCTGTCTCACTCTCATGCTGGTTTTGAAAAACTCTTGCATAACTACAGTAATCTGTATTTACTCAACAGGTTTTCTAGGCTTTAGAACTATAATGTTCTGTCTTTGTTCAGTAGACGTTCTAGGCTTCATAACTATAGTATTGTCTATTTGTTCAACAGGTTTTCTAGGTTTTATAACAATAATGTTCTGTTTTTGTTCAGTAGACGTTCTAGGCTTCATAACTGTAGTATTGTCTATTTATTTGTTCAACAGGTTTTCTAGGCTTTATAACTAATGTTCTGTCTTTGTTCAGTGGACATCTTAGGTTTCATGACTAGTATTCTCTTTTTATTTGTCAACAGGTTTTCAGGGCTGTGTAACTACATTGTTCGTTATTTGATCAACAGGTTTTCTAGGCTCCGAAACTACAATGTACTTTATATCTGTGGCACTGATGAGTATGGCACAGCCACTGAGACTAAAGCCATGGAGGAGGGAGTAACTCCGAAGGAGATCTGTGACAAGTACAATGTTCTACATTCAAAGATCTATAAATGGTTTGACATTGATTTTGATTTTTTTGGCAGAACCACAACTCAGCAACAGACTGAGTAAGTATATTTCAGATTTGTTTATTTTTTTTTACACATCTATTCTTTCTTTATACATCATCTGTTGTTTCTTTACACATCATATGGTGTGTCCCCCGTGTGGGTTCCGGGGCCCCATTGTGGGGAAAACAAGAATAGACCCACTGCCTCCCCAAAAGCATGTCGTAAGAGTCGACTAATTGGGGAGCTTCCTTTGAAGTCGGAGTGCATCTGCCGGAGAGGCAAGGAACCAACAGTCTGTATTCAAGAGAATGAGATCTGTAAAACTGATGCACACGCAACACTCAGGTTCTGGAGCAGGACTGCAGTTCAGTAGTGGACGAGCAACCAGAACCTTCCGCCAGAGTTTACAGCTGGTGAACGCGAAGAAGAAGAAGAATATGGTGTGTCATAAAATGTTTCTTAACACGTCATCATTTCTTCATAATTTAAAACACACTGTAGATACACTGAGAAACATGCTTATAAAAGAACTGGAGAAATTGTGGGTTTGCCCAACAATGCCCAAATTTGAGACCTTGAAATGTTTTATTTTTTTGTACACACTCTTACATGTTATCTGTTCATCTTTACATATCTTCTGTTGTTTTTACAGATCATATTTTGTTTCTCTACACAGACGTTTTTTTAAAAACATATCTTTACAAATCATAAGCCTTTTTTTTAAAATTTATAATCTGTTGTTTTTTCCTCAGTACATCATCTGTTGTTTCTTTGCCCATCGTGTGTTTTTTCTTTACCCATCTGTTGTTTATATTTTGTTTGTAATGAGACAGCAAGAGGGGCCAAATATTTTGATGTGAAATCAAACACCAGTCGCTAAACAAACATGCAAAAAAGATGAAGCCAAACTACATAACATAGAAAGGCAACCTATTTCTCTTGGGAACAATCAGTAGAAGTACCTGCATCAGAGGACTGAGAATGCATTGGAATACCCCATGTGCATTGAGGTCACTTGTGATAACATAACACAAAAACACATAAAATCGTTGGAAGTGCATCTTGCACCCCCTTTTCATCTTTCATCATCAGCATCAGCATTATCATCCTGTAACACTACGTGTCATTGAGTCATCAGTTTCTGCTGACTGTCTGATCAGCTGTCTCCATCTTTGGCGGTCAGTTGCAATGGACTTCAGGGTTGCATGCCTGAGGCCTGTTCAGTCAGACAGGTTCTGTAACCAGGTCTTTCTTGGTCTGCCTCTTCTCCTCTTTTCCTCTACTGAGCCCAGCAGTAATGTTTTTTGAGAGGCATTAGATCTTAATACGTGTCCATACCATTGCATTTTTCGCCTTTTCATCATTAATTGTTGCATTTTTTTTTAATCACTGATTTAAAAAAAAAGCACCAGGTACTTCTTGCGACATGATTTAACATGTGTTAGTTTATTTATATGTTTTGCTTTTTTCTTCTTCTTAAATATTTGTTCCTGTTTAGAATGAGTTTTTGTGTTGCTCGGCAGAATTGCTCAAGACATTTTCTGGAAACTACACAAGAGAGGCTACATCCAGAAAGATAGCGTTGACCAACTTCACTGCACTAAATGTGACAAGTAAGGCACTTGAATGTTTGACAGTGCAAGTTAAAATGTCTGCTCTTCATTATCTCACAGGATGTCATGCCATAGGTTTTAATTGTAAATTACGCAGAAGTGCAGTTGTCATACACCTGGAAACTCTATGAGAAAACTCCTTCATCCCAAGGGGTTCTAGAGCATATGTCTGGAAGTGGAAGTAACCGATGTAGCAAATCATAGCTGCATTATTGTGCTTTAACATAATATATACGTAAATCAAAGAGTTTCAACCCTGCTCACTGTATGGGTTCTGGAGCATATGTCTGGGAGTGGAAGTAACCGATGTAGCAAATCATAGATGCATTATTGTGCTTTAACATAACATATACGTAAATCAAAGAGTTTCAACCCTGCTCACTGTATGGGTTCTGGAGCATATGTCTGGGAGTGGAAGTAACCGATGTAGCAAATCATAGATGCATTATTGTGCTTTAACATAGCATATATGTAAATCGAACAGTTTACAACCCCACTCACTGTATGGGTTCTGGGGCCCTATTGGGAAGGAAGAAAAAGAGTAATGTCACTGCTTCCCTAACAAGCATGTTGTAAGAGTGGACTAATTAAGGGTTTCCTTTGGAGTCTGAGATGCAAGGAACCAACAGTCTGCATGCAGATAAGACAAATCTGTCAAATGGAAGTGCATGCAAACCTTAAGGCTTGGAACAAGACTAAAGTGCAGAAGAAGACTAACAACTAGATTACAGCTGGTGAATGCAAAGAGGAAGAAGAAGACAAACCTACTGACATAGAACTTTTCAAAACAAAGTAAAAAAAAAAGTAAAGATCCCTTTACATGCCCTTAGGCGCATCGGGCATATGGGAAGAGCACCCATATTTTTACAGACCAATCGGCACTTGGTGGGTAATGTGGTCAGCATTACGCCAGCCGTCTTTACTTTCCCAGGACAGCCCATCCTGGTACCCATTTGAGGCTGGGTCGACCTGCGATGTCCCATACCACGATAAAAATCTGGCATAGGCACATGTAATTTTAATGTCACGGTGAGGAGTTGTTTGCAGTGACATCTGACTTACTGTTTTTGTTTATATTTGTAGTTTGTGCAAAACAAAATAGCATGTCATGATATCCTTTTCATAGTTTTACAAACAGTGGACATTATTTGCAATGACATCCTCTTCTTCACATTTACCGGCCGTAAACTCTTTGACGGAAAGTTCTGGGTGTTCGTTCGTCCTCCTCCAGACTTTAGTCTTGCTCCAGAACTTGAGTGTTGCATGCACATCTGTTTCTTGGGTCTGGTCAAAGGATGACCTCAGTTAGGTGACTCTTAGGACATGCTTGTCAGGGAGGCAGTGGGTTTATTCTTGTTTTTCCCACCAGGGCGCCCCCAGGAACCCACAAAGGGAGAAATGACATATAACTTACGTTTTTTTCTTCTTTAATGTACAAAATAAAATAGTCTCTCATAATAACCTCTTTTTTGTAGTTTTACTGTAGATGTGGACATTATTTGCAATGAAATCAGTGACAGTTTGCTTTGCAAGTTTGTTTACATTAATTTCGATATGTTTTTGCAAAAAGTTCACAACCTGGAGGGAGTGGCATGACATCGTTCAGAATGAGCAATACAGTTTAGGAAGAAAATGTAATTGGTCAGTCAAAATTACAATAAATTGTCTTTTTAGGCCACAAAAATGTTGTAGTGTTAAAAATATCTAAAGAAATCGCCTTTTTGAAGAAAACTAATATTCCTGCTTATAATTGCAAATAATAAAATCACAAAGAGATTAAAAATGTACGGTTCGTGTGAAAACATTTTTTGTGATCCATGTAACGATTTTGAAGATAACAGAAGACAAAACGCATGTGTCTAACTGGATTATAGTATCTTTTTTGGCAATACTAAGGCCTTTTCAAGTAATTATTTTGCTGACAGTTTGTTTCCTTGCTCTGTTATAGATTTCTGGCGGATAGATTTGTTGAGGGCACATGTCCGATGTGTAACTTTGACGATGCTAGAGGTGATCAGTGTGACGGCTGCGGCAAGCTCATCAATGCCGTGGAGCTGAAGAATCCCAAGTGCAAGACCTGCAAAAGCTCACCTGTGATACGCAATTCACATCATTTGTTTTTGGATTTACCCAAGGTCTGTCTGTCTGTCTCTCTCTCTTTCTCTTTCTTTTATCTCTTTTTGATCCTTTGAAAATAAATGGTGTTTGTCCTCTCTGTCCGTCTCTCTCACTCGGTCTCTCTCTTGTTCTCTCTCATTTGTCTTGTTCTCTCTCTCTTATCTCTTCCTTTAAAGATAAAGTTTTTGTTTTTCTCTGTCTCTCTCTCTCAGATCCCCCCCCCCCCCCCCCCCCCCAGACAGGCCTACCTGCCTAATTCTCAACCTTTTAAAAATAAAGTTCCTATGTTTATTCTCTTCTGTCTGTAAATTGCATGAGATACATGTAAGACAGTTATTGTCTTTGACTTGCAGCTCTTGCCTTGACTGATTCATAGTAGATAATTATGCTCAAGGGCAGTGACTACCATTTTGCTGAGACCTCATATTGCTGGAAGTTTGTGTAAATTACATGTTTTTCCAGCTGTGTGGATGAAAAAAGAAAGAACAATTTTCTTGCCAGTAGCATGTCTGGCATATGATCTCTAGTCATTTTTTATAGCATTCAGTCGGAGGAATGGACAAAATCATACCGGCCACCTTTACTTTCTAGGAGTTTGTCTGGGAGCCGAGGTGATATTTGAGAGAGAGAAAAATAAGGCACAACACTAAATCGAAAAATGGCTTTTATAACAAGCAGGCAAGCATCTAGTGCTACACCACAGAGGCTGCCCAGTATTGGTCTGTTGGAATTGAATAACTTATCTGCTGGATTTGACACGGGATATCATTCTTTTCTTTTCTGTCTCTTATCTGGAGCATAGGCCCAGCAACCAGCTCACATCTATCCATTTATAGATTTGTTTATGATTAGTTTTCTCATGGTGTCCAGTCTCATGCCAGCCTTACTTAGTTGCCACTAATGACATGCATTAGTTTACAATTTTAATGTTTTCTCTCATAGGCCCCTAGTAGGGCAATACAGGGTGTCCAGTCATTTTCAGAACACAGGACAAATAACCCATGTTTCCATACATAGGAACAAGAACCCTTGTTTCCATACATAGGAACAATAACCCATGTTTCCATACTTAGGAACAGTAACCCATGTTTCCGTACATAAAAACAGTAACCCATTTTTCCATCCATAGGAACAGTAACCGATATTTCCATACATAGGAACAATAACCTATGTTTCCATACAAAGGAACAGTAACTCATGTTTCCATACATAGGAACAGTAACTCATGTTTCCATACATAGGAACAGTAACCTATGTTTCCATACATAGGAACAAAAATCCATGTTTCCATACATAGGAACAGTAACCCATGTTTCCATACATAGGAACAATAACCTATGTTTCCATACATAGGAAAAAAAATCCATGTTTCCATACATAGGAACAGTAACCCATGTTTCCATACATAGGAACAGTAACCCATGTTTTCATACATAGGAACAGTAACCCATGTTTCCATACATAGAAACAGTAACCCGTGTTTCCATCCATAGAAACAGTAACCCATATTTCCATACATAGGAACAGTAACCCATGTTTCCATACATAGGAACAACAACCCTTGTTTCCATACATAGGAACAATAACCCATGTTTCCGTACATAAAAACAGTAACCCATTTTTCCATCCATAGAAACAGTAACCCATATTTCCATACATAGGAGCAATAACCTGTTTCCATACATAGGAACAGTAACCCATGTTTCCATACATAGAAACAGTAACCCCTGTTTCCATACATAGAAACAGTAAACCTATCACCAAAATCATCACACATAACTCCAGGTGTCCTTATACATGTTCTTCAGTATTGGAGTCACAAATAAACACAGCTGGATTTATGCTTCTTTTAATGTCATTTGGTGATATCATTTATTGCTCCTGTGTATGGAAACTTATGGGACACCCATATCATTTATTGCTCCTGTGTATGGAAACTTATGGGGCACCCACTCTTCTGGTGGACTCTCCCATTCATATTTGTTGCAGAGTTTCTCTGGTGTTAACTTTCCACCTGGTTATTGACTTCTGCTTGTCTTAGTCTCTTTCATTTTCTAGTTAATGGTTGAGTAATGTTGTGTTTGTTTTCATTTGTATCGGATCACGAAATGTTAAAAGATTGTAATACTTACTTCTTTATTGTCTCAGAAAGCAACATCATCAATGTAAAATTGTTTTCAATGAATGTACACAGCTGGAGCCGGATCTGAAAAGCCCACCTGGATAAAGTTTTTGAGGCAGGTACCTGGACACACAATGCCAAGGTGATCACAAGTTCCTGGATTCGAGATGGACTCAAACCACGCTGCATTAGTCGAGACCTCAAGTGGGGCACCCCTGTGCCACTTGAAGGCTACACAGACAAAGTGTTTTACGTGTGGTACGATGCACCAATTGGGTACATTAGCATTACAGCCAACTACACATCAGAGTGGAAGAAATGGTGGAAAAACCATAAACAGGCAAGTTGTGTGTTTGTTGTTTCTTGTCTTCTTATGAATAAGTGAATCAAGAAAAGGGAAAGTGGAGCTTGTCAGAATTACAAGAACAGATATGGGTGAAATTGGTTATGAAACTGTTAAAAAAAAAATTATTGCCCGCAGAGAGCATTGCACAAAGCTCAAGCTCTTTCGTTCCAGTGATGACCTCTCATGTATCGTTAGACAGTCACTAACAAAGTGAATTGGTGAGTCTGAATCTAAATCTGTGAACTTCACTGCAGGAAGAAAGTGGCTTAACCTCTTTAACTTGAAGATCTTCAATGTAACTGTAACCTAGATCAGTGTTTCTTAAACTTTTCAGATCAGTGGTCCATAAAAACAAAAGAAATCATTTCAGGTCCTTCTAACAGTTAATGGAACGTAGAAACAAATTTATGCGTACTACACCACACTCACTTTGCAGGAATCATATAGACCCTGCATGAGTTACTGTCCCTTTTTCCAGCCCAGTCTACAGGTTAGGTAACTATGGGGTGCGATAATTATTACTGTTTTATGCGGCTGAACAAGATTTCAGCTGGTCCTGTTCGATTCTCATCCTTGAGGTGTAAAATCCTACAAACAGGAATTGTGGATTTCTGTTACATGATTAAACAGAAATTGTGGTCAGCCCACCTGGACATTCCTGCAGCCCTCCAGTGGGCAGCGGCTCACCAGTTGAATAACAATGACCTAGATCAGAAAAATGATGAAGCCTTTTGGTCCTAATCCCTTTTACCGTCTTTAAAACATACTGCATTTTGTGAATTTTTGAAAACTGCCAGCATTCAGTGAAGGTGCAGTGGGATAAACTACTGACAGAAGATGTAAGAAACCCCCTTCCCTCCACTAGCTTGCGGAATATGTCATTGGCAGGAATAGAGTACTATCTGTTTAAGTCTCCTACCAGGATTTCATAGTCATGGCTGGCAGGTGATGAATGGGCGAGCAGCTAAAAGGTATACAGAACTGGTTGCTACTTTAACTCTGCATGGGTGAGCAGCTGAAATGTTTACAGAACTGGTTATCACTTTAACTCTGCATGGGTGAGCAGCTGAAAGGATTACAAAACTTGTTGCTACTGTAACTCTGCATGGGTGAGCAGCTGAAAGGTTTACAGAACTGGCTGCTACTTTAACTCTCCATGGGTGAGCAGCTGAAAGGTTTACAGAACTGGTTGACACTTTAACTCTGCATGGGTTAGCAGCTGAAACTTTTACAGAACTGATTGCCACTTTAACTCTGCATGGGTGAGCAGCTGAAAGGTTTACAGAACTGGTTGACACTTTAACTCTGCATAAGTGAGCAGCTGAAAGGTTTACAAAACTGGTTACTACTTAAACTCTGCTTGCAGTGAATTTCAATAAAGGCACAATGGTGAAAACAACATTCCCATTATGCCCTCACAGAAAGAGAATGGAATCTCCTGTGAGTACTGTAAATTGAGACATATAATTTGAGTTGTCTGATATAGTCTGTTCAGAACAAGGCATCGACTTATATAGGGGTAGGAGTTAATAGATGCATATTCTAAAAACAAATTTCTTATTGTAACTCTGAATGTCTTTATTGACCAATTGGATTATCTGCCTAACTTGCAGGTGGAGTTTTACAACTTTCTGGGGAAAGACAACGTGCCATTCCATAGTGTTATCTTTCCAGCATGCCTGTTGGGAGCAGATGATGACTACACTGTTGTTAAACACATGATCGCCACAGGTAACGTTGCCAGTACTTTTATCTTCATTGACTTATTGTCGAAGGAGATAAAGGTTCTTGTTCTCATTCTTCTGGCCTCAGTCATACACATTTGTTGCAGATTTTCTCTGAGGCTGTTTATCCACCTGGTTATTGACTTCTGCTTGTCTTAAATGTTGATTCTCTTTAATTTTCTGGTTAAGTAGCATTGTCTTTGTTTTCTTTATTGTCTTGAAAAGTAACATCATCAGTCAGCAGGTCTTTTACAAAACGTCAGTCTCATCATAACACTCATGGAAGTCTCTTTCTCTAGCTAGTTATCCAGCCCTGTGTGCTTTCATAGACAATGCATCTTCAGTGCCTTGTATTCACCCTCATGGAGGTCTGCCTCTCCATCATTGTCTGCAAACTGGACTTTCTTTACCATTTCCTCCAGGTCACCAGGATGCTTAACCATGGCCAGAATACCTCAGATTTTGGGACAGGATGCTGTTTACGCACCAATTCTCCTCAGATTTTGTAGGATGTCAGTGTTTTCCTCTTCCTGGTCCATGTTATTCAAAGAATCTTTTTGTAGCATTTCACTTCAGAAGCTCTGAATTGTTTCTTCACTGATTAAGAGTCCCTGACTCACATTTTGTAAGTTGCCATGGGAAAGATGCATCTTCTCATAAATGTTGCTCAACTTGGTTTTCAGGTGATGTGCCATAGAGTTTTTATGCTGGGTAGTCTCTGCACTTTTAAAGCTGGTCTCTTGGAATTGGTTTATACCAGGCAGTAAAATAAATTATACAAATTGAAAAATCTCTTTGTTATCCATGGCAGAGTACCATATTTTCTTTTTTATCCTTGGCTTTATGCGTAGTTCGTTGTTGTGTTTATCCAGACATAAAATTGTGCAAATAGCAGAATATTGTATTTATCACACTGACTCGGGTTGGGTAAATAATTTAGTATTTTAATATTACCCTTTAGTTGTGCTAATAATGCTATGGAAAGATTCTCAAAATATCTTGCACAAAGAAGATGAGAAATATTGACATCTTGAAAGATCTGAACATCAAGGAAGATTGGCTAATAAACAGCATCCTGTCTCGGAAACTGAAATATTTTGGTCATATCAAGCGCCACGACGGATTTGAAAAAATTGTAGCAGAAGGCATGGTACCAGGAAGAAGGGGCAGGGGCGACCAACACGAAGATGGGTACAGGATATAAGTGACTCTTTGAGAATGAGTACATTGGGTGGGAGATCTGGCGAGAGACCGAGTTTCTTTCATGCGGACTGATGAGAGCAACGTTCTGCAGTGGACCTGCTACATAATGATGATGAGTTGTGCTAATAGTTCAGTATTGTATTGTCCTACAGCTGTGTAAATAATAGCAGATTTTGTTCATTGGATCTTGTCTTGTGTACCCTAGAGTATCTCAACTATGAGGACACAAAGTTTTCAAAGAGTCGAAACACCGGCGTGTTTGGTGACCAAGCTGAGGATACTGGCATCAAGGCAGACATTTACAGGTTTTATCTCCTGTATGTTAGGCCAGAGTCACAGGTGAGATGTGTGAACATAGCTCACTCTCATTCATCACTCACTCACTCACTCTCTCCCTATCTTTGTGTATAGAGAAAGAGAGAGAGAGTTATAGCATGGATGAAAATGAGAGAGTATGTAAGATGGAGACTGAGTAAACATAATATATAGGATGGAAAGATGTTAGTCTTATTTTCTAGTTAGACACAGCGACTGTAGTCTCCCCTCTGTTCAGGTGTTAAGTTAGTAGAGACATAAATTTTGACGACACACAACTCTGAAGTAAATATTGTTTATTCCTGTTTCAACGAATGTGTAGCCCAGTCACTGTTCTAAGTTCTCTCCCGTCTCGCTAAGGGTCAGTTATGACTACTGCTGTTTCTATCCTACAGTTTAAAGAGTCAGATACTTTTCATTCTATGTGTTCCAAATACGCTGACAGCTTGCTTCCCAGATACTGTGCCACAGGTCTTCACAGTTGTTTAAAGTTTCAACTTAGAATCATTTCTGTTCAGCAATCTTCTGTGTATGTCAGGGACTTCCTCACGTTTTCATCAGTCACAATTCATATCAGTTATCTCTCTTGTACTGGCATTGGGCCAAAGGGCGAAAGCTCATGCACCGCTGGATCGATAACAACAACAACAATCTCTCTTGTACAGCTCAACCTCTCACTGCTACTGTCAAACACCAACTGAATTTCCTACTTCCTCACATCTAGTCCCTTGTTCTCAACCCACGAGTTTCATCTTGCAATCGTTCACTCAAACATGGGAACTTACAAACGTAGCTTTTTCACACTTTCCCTGGCACACTTAGCTGGCCCCTTGACCTTAAAGTCATCATACAGAGAATACCTTGGAATTCCTGGGATTTTCCCTCATTACATTTGAGAGGAATCATGATGTTAAGTATGAAAATGAATTAGAAAAACATGTGAGAAAGATAATGATAGTGTATTTAAGAGTTTGAGTGAGATTACAATGTTTCACAGAGTATGTGAGAGAGAAAAAGAATGAAAGAACAAATTGTTTCTAAATTGTCACAAATTGGCCACTTATACGTTTCAGAGTATGTAAGGGGGAGAGTGACAGAATCTATGCGAGTGAGAATAATGTTAAAGAGATAACATGTATGTGAGAATAAATATGTTATGGTATGCCTTTTGAGAGCATGTGAGTTAGGGAGTGGGAAACAAATAAGAGTTCACAAACATATAAACTTATTTACATACATTCATATTGGGTCTGGTAAGCTCATGAGCTCTGTATGTCTGATTAGTTCATTAGGTCTGTATGTCTGATAAGTTCATGAGCTCTGTGTGTCAGATTAGTTCATGAGCTCTGTATGAAGCCAACACATTTACCAATTCCAATGTTTCCACGTTGTACATTTAAATAATGAGAACACATAATATATTACAAACAATTTTTGCATGGCATATTTCATCAGATGCATTACTAGAGAGAAATGGAAAAGATGCACACAAATACAACCGTATGTTTCTGTCAGTCTTTATCAGAAAAACACTAAATACACTGCAGTGACTGGAAAATTCAGTGGAAAAGACAACAAAGCCTGTAGACAACAGAGGTCAACATGAAACCCAAGAAATATGAAAAAATATGGACGTAAACAGCTGTATTACAAAACAAAATAAGTAAAGAGGTTTTGTTTTTTTAACGGGAGAAATATAAATAGGTTAAAAATAAAATAAAATAAACAAAAAGCATGAAAAATAAAAATAGCCATATAGGTGATGAATATTTATCCCTGCAGGACGGAAAATGTGAAAACTGAATGAAAAGATCTTCCAAGTTGTAATGGCTGGTTTGATCACCAGAGTGATATATTACTGCTATAAAATCTTGCTCCGATGATCAAACCAACCATTACTTCTTTGAAAATGTGTTTAATTTACAGTCCTGCAAGGATCGATAATCAGATTTTAGGGAGAAATCTGAGCACTTAAGGACGTGTCCAAAGTGCTGTAAATGCAATCCTACCTAAACTTGAACCAAGCAATCTTCTTTGTTTCCTAGGATACAGCCTTCAGCTGGGATGATTTCCAGTTGAAAAACAATGGGGAGCTCTTGAACAACCTGGGAAACTTCATTAACAGGTTTGTTTACAGGGCTTCAAAATTTTTATGTAGGTTTCTAATAGTATCTCAGCTGAGTCGTAGACAAATGTTTTTTTTTAAAAACAAATATTTTAACAAATATTATTTCCTGTTCTATACCACTTCTTTGTTGTTTTTTTCACCTACTCCTTCGTCTTCTCTTCCTTCTTCTGTTTTTTATCTTCATGCACTTTGAAACCTTATACTCTTTCATCTCGGTAATACTAAAAAAAAAAAAATAATAAATGCGACCTCATGAGAATTCTTGAAAACAATTTTAAAAACAATTTTGCGCAGGTCAATAATGAATTTACTAAAATGTGTATAACTACATATAGATAAAGGGTGTGATCAATAAACTTGGAACAGAATAAAAGATTAAGAGCAATACATTCCCTGGGGCATCTATCAGACCAGTAAGGCTTATGAGAAAATTTGACTTGACTTCAAGTTGGCTTTAAAAAAACAACAACCTGTAAATGCTATTTTTAGTTGGTATCTTCACATTGGACCTTGTAAATGTTTGCGCAGACATGAACACAACCAATAGTATTAATCTATGTCTTGTAAATAGGTCACTATAGACAAGCAGGGAGAGAAACATCACACTTGCTCACTGAATCAAGTGTTTACTGCATCACCATCTGTGGGACCCACTGTAAACAAACCTTCTGATTTTGCAGTCTCTTACGAACAACTTGTTGAACTTCCTAATTGACACATTGAATTATTTCTTTAGCGAACATTTGCTTCGATAATGCTTCTCCTGTATTGCTGTATCAGTTTTGGTTAGGGTTTTTTCTGTTGCAAGAATTTGTCCTTGACTTGACCGTGAAAATGTTTTGTGAACTCATGTCCATTCTGAAACATTCATGCCCAGTCAGAAGTCACTGTTGTGTTGGACACACATTTGGTGTAGTACACTGCCTGCATTCTTTGATAATGTCCACTTGTCGACATCCATCAAATGAAAGAAACTGAATCACTGCTCTTTGGGCAGATTTAGCATCAACTCTACCATTTTTTTAAGTGGTCAGAGGGAACGATAAATGCATGCTCTTTTGTTTGTTAGTCAGTACTTGTCACATGACTATGTCATGATTATGTTCAATGCTAGCAGTAAACTAGTTAAGGAATGTGCAACTGAAGATCAGCCTGACGTACCAGTTTCTTACCAACAGAAGAAGAGAATAATCAAATCAATCAGACAGCCACAAAAACCGGCACAAGACGATTACCATTTTATGGATTAACCAGAGCAGGTCATTATTCTACGTCTTAGAACAACGTACAGTAAACTTCGCAGCCACATGTACACAAATTTAAGACTGGCAAATGAGCCATGTACACGTATTAACTGGCACCTGAGACAACAGATCATGACCACCAAGATTGTCCCAAATACATTTTCAGGCAAAACTTCTGGGTTGCCAAGTGAGTACAAAAGCATGCCAGGTTCATACTAGAGACCGCATTACAGGTTTAGATAATTTATTTCAAGCGATGAAAGAAAAAGAAATGCATGCAGTTGCTCACGATGTGCCAGGATCAGGACTCGGCGCATGTTTTTCATATATATATATGGTTATATATGTAAATATTAATAGACCTATGCGTATACCGTCTAATCTAGAAAATGTTCTGTTTCTGATCTTGTCTCAGAGCCCTCATGTTCTTGAGCAACAGTTTTGGAGGAATTATGCAAGAAATACATGAGACCGATGATGACCTTCAGCTTCTTGCCCTGATCACCCGAGAGTTGAAGTCCTACATCCATCACTTGGAAAACTGCAGGTAGTAAATTTGGAGAATATTAATCCATCATATCACCTCATCCTGTCTTGGTCCTGTTGTACCTTGTGGTGTCTTGGTCCTGTTGTACCTTGTGGTGTCTTGGTCCTGTTGTACCTTGTAGTGTCATGGTCCTGTTGTACCTTGTGGGTGTCTTGGTCCTGTTGTACCTTGTGGTGTCTTGGTCCTGTTGTACCTTGTGGTGTCTTGGTCCTGTTGTACCTTGTGGTGTCATGGTCCTGTTGTACCTTGTGGTGTCATGGTCCTGTTGTACCTTGTGGTGTCTTGGTCCTGTTGTACCTTGTGGTGTCTTGGTCCTGTTGTACCTTGTGGTGTCTTGGTCCTGTTGTACCTTGTGGTGTCATGGTCCTGTTGTATCTTGTGGTGTCATAGTCCTGTTGTACCTTGTGGTGTCATGGTCCTGTTGTACCTTGTGGTGTCTTGGTCCTGTTGTACCTTGTGGTGTCATGGTCCTGTTGTACCTTGTGGTGTCTTGGTCCTGTTGTACCTTGTGGTGTCTTGGTCCTGTTGTACCTTGTGGTGTCATGGTCCTGTTGTACCTTGTGGTTTCTTGGTCCTGTTGTACCTTGTGGTGTCTTGGTCCTGTTGTACCTTGTGGTGTCTTGGTCCTGTTGTATCTTGTGGTGTCTTGGTCCTGTTGTACCTTGTGGTGTCTTGGTCCTGTTGTACCTTGTGGTGTCTTGGTCCTGTTGTACCTTGTGGTGTCATGGTCCTGTTGTACCTTGTGGTGTCTTGGTCCTATTGTACCTTGTGGTGTCTTGATCCTGTTGACACTTTTGGTGTCTTGATCCTGTTGTACCTTGTGGTGTCTTGGTCCTGTTGTACCTTGTGGTGTCATGGTCCTGTTGTACCTTGTGGTGTCATGGTCCTGTTGTACCTTGTGGTGTCATGGTCCTGTTGTACCTTGTGGTGTCATGGTCCTGTTGTATCTTGTGGTGTCATGGTCCTGTTGTATCTTGTGGTGTCATGATCCTGTTGTATCTTGTGGTGTCATGGTCCTGTTGTATCTTGTGGTGTCATGGTCCTGTTGTACCTTGTGGTGTCATGGTCCTGTTGTACCTTGTGGTGTCATAGTCCTGTTGTACCTTGTGGTGTCATGGTCCTGTTGTACCTTGTGGTGTCTTGGTCCTGTTGTACCTTGTGGTGTCATGGTCCTGTTGTACCTTGTGGTGTCATGGTCCTGTTGTACCTTGTGGTGTCATGGTCCTGTTGTACCTTGTGGTGTCATGGTCCTGTTGTACCTTGTGGTGTCATGGTCCTGTGTACCTTGTTTGGTGTCATGGTCCTGTTGTACCTTGTGGTGTCATGGTCCTGTTGTACCTTGTGGTGTCTTGGTCCTGTTGTACCTTGTGGTGTCTTGGTCCTGTTGTACCTTGTGGTGTCATGGTCCTGTTGTACCTTGTGGTGTCTTGGTCCTGTTGTACCTTGTGGTGTCTTGGTCCTGTTGTACCTTGTGGTGTCATGGTCCTGTCGTACCTTGTGGTGTCTTGGTCCTGTTGTACCTTGTGGTGTCATGGTCCTGTTGTACCTTGTGGTGTCATGGTCCTGTGTCTTGTGGTGTCCTGGTCCTGTTGTACCTTGTGGTGTCATGGTCCTGTTGTACCTTGTGGTGTCATGGTCCTGTCGTACCTTGTGGTGTCATGGTCCTGTTGTACCTTGTGGTGTTATGGTCCTGTTGTACCTTCTGGTGTCTTGGTCCTGTTGTACCTTGTGGTGTCATGGTCCTGTTGTACCTTGTGGTGTTATGGTCCTGTTGCACCTTCTAGTGTCTTGGTCCTGTTGTACCTTGTGGTGTCATGGTCCTGTTGTACCTTGTGGTGTCTTGGTCCTGTTGTACCTTGTGGTGTCTTGGTCCTGTTGTACTTGTGGTGTCATGGTCCTGTTGTATCTTGTGGTGTCATGGTCTGTTGTACCTTGTGGTGTCATTGTCCTGTTGTACATTGTGGTGTGTCATGGTCCTGTTGTAACCTTGTGGTGTCTTGGTCCTGTTTGTACATTGTGGTGTCATGGTCCTGTTGTATCTTGTGGTGTCTTGTGGTCCTGTTAACATTTGTGTGGTGTCATGGTCCTGTTGTACCTTGTGGTGTCATGGTCCTGTTGTACCCTTGTGGTGTCATGGTCCTGTTGTAACTTGTGGTGCATGGTTCTGTGTGACCCTTGTGGTGTCATGGTCCTGTGCTACCTTGTGGTGTCATGGTCCTGTTGTACCTTGTGGTGTCATGGTCCTGTTGTACCTTGTGGTGTCATGGTCCTGTTGTACCTTGTGGTGTCATGGTCCTGTTGTACCTTGTGGTGTCATGGTCCTGTTGTACCTTGTGGTGCCTTGGTTCTGTTGACCCTTGTGGTGCCTTGGTTCTGTTGACCCTTGTGGTGCCTTGGTTCTGTTGTATCTGTGGTGTGTTGTGTACCTTTGGTGTCATGATCCTGTGTATCTTGTGGTGTCATGATCCTGTTGTACCTTGTGGTGTCATTGATCCTGTTGTACTTGTGGTGTCATTCCTTTTGCTGGGGTGTTTTTGGACAAAATTTTGTTGTAGTTGATTTTCCCAAAACCCTTTAAAAAAAAAGGGCAGGGACATCAAAAAAGACAGCAGACGCAGACCGGGAATCCCCTTTTGACAGAAACTTCCCTTTCCAAGGATAACATAAAGGGGGGTTGTGTAAAAGGGCCCCCAAAAAAGGTTTTAAGCCCCAACGTTTTGGCACCCAACGGACAGGGGAGCAGGGGAATGCGTTCACATTTATACCAGCCTTAATCTTTCCCCAGTGATTGATTAGGGACTGGGTTTGCTCACTGCCCCGAAGAGGTCAAGTAGGAAACTGGATTGCATAAAATGAAGAAATTCGGCTGATGGGGAGTACAAGAGGGCCCAAGCGACAAAGACCCAGGGTTTTTGTGATTAATTTTGGGCCATACAAGTTTTTTCCTAGCAAAGGCGTATAATGAGTAAGTTTTTTGTGTCGAAAGCACGTATATCAGAACTTACAGAAAACAAAAAGGGGAAAAGGTAACAGATTTTATACAGTAACATGGGGACCTTAAAAGAGTAAAAAATTTTTTTAAATTTTACATAGGGGTTTTTTAAAAACAATAATAAATTTTTGGACACCTTATAGGGGGAAAACTTTTTTAAAAATGTAAAATTATCAAAAGTACCTACAGGTCTGTTGCAAAAACAAAAAAAAAAAAAATCTTTAAGGTTTAAAAATTTTTATGCCCGAGTTTTTTTTTAATTTTAAATTGGGAAAGTGAATATTTTTCCCTTAATGGGCCGGCTTGGGGGGGTTGTATTCCCAACTTTTAATTTTTAAATATTTACAAAGGTGCTATA